CTACAATACATAAGATTGAAGACTTCACGTCGCATAATCGTTGAACAAATCTGGAACCTGTAGTAATAGTCGGAAAGTTTTTTTTTTTTGCATTGAATGTATTTCGTGAGCATCAAAATACATTTGTTGTATACTTTGATAAAAAAAATAACTAGAGCAACACAGGGAGACAAAGTCGAAAGTTGTCTTGAAAATTTGCAGGATTTAGACAAGTGGCATGAAAATTATATTGCTCATTAAGTTGTCCGATATTACTTTGAAATTAGTACAAGTTTTTTTCACAAACGAGAAAAATATATCTTTGGAAAAAAAATCCAAAAAATCGAAAGCGTCAGTGTACGGACGGGCGGATATGCCTGATGCCTCGCAAACAGGGTACCGCGCACTCGTGCAGTAGCAAGCATTCTCTCTGTTCACTTGTGGGCATTGGGCAAAATTGTTTAGAACACGATTTAAACCCATTATATTTACTTTCATAATAGCAAGAAAATTATCATCAGGCAATGTGGAACGGGCTCCGCCTCATTTCCACTTACATGTATCGACCATTTCATTAATACTTATTGATATGACAGCGAGAAATGTAAAGTATAGAATTCATGGAATACCAATTATATGACGGATCTTCGTTGATTTTTAACCCTTGAGTATTTTCTGATTCCAGAAATTCAACGAATACCAAACACGCCAACCTTTCGTTGACAGATCGAGTATCCGATGATTTGCAGCTTTCGAGGAATTACTGCACTCGATTTGTCGCACACCTCCGATATATAAAAAAATATATAACTCAGTACTCGCTGCAGTGAGTAACAGAGAGCGCATTTTCTCGTCGACTAAAACGTGGTAACGGACAGACAGACAAGACGGACGGACGGACAGACAGACGGACATGGCGAGCACAATAGCGTTTTTTTCATAAATGAGAAGATGCGCTGAAAACATCACAAAATATTCACCGAGCCGTTTCATGAATGATTTGTTGTACTATTTACTTAAATTGAAATAAAGAACAAAAATGTTTGAATTATCTTAACTGATCGTTAAAACATTTTTTCTTCAAAGTAACTGCTGATGCAGGTTGTGCTTCACTGACTGAGAAAGAAAATAATAAATCTGAGGAACTTTAAACGAGAACCAAAAATTCTTGCTAAATTGGGACAGTTTCAGGAAATTAGAATTTTTTTTAAATTACGGAGATTTGCAACGAGAAAAATTTTCTTTTGCTTCTCCTTCGCTAGAGAATTCGGTTTATCAGAAGCCCGTTATTACAGAGAGTAAAATGTAAAAAGTCCCTCAATGATTGTTTACTTCTAAAATTTACTGCTTCTAGAATCCAGATGGAAGAAAATGTGCAATCTCTTAGGAGAAACAGTCCAGTATCACTACAAATCGAATCGAACACAAAATATATCTTAGGCTATGAAATGTATTCCACAAAATAATATGTTTCTTTCTCGGTGTACTCGAAATATTCCCCCGTCTTCTAAGTATGTGCTCGTAGCCTCCACTTGTACAGAAGTTCCTATCCGTTCATTAGGTCATACAAGCGGCGGAGACCTGAGATCAGCGGCGATCTCTGTACCAGCAGCGCAGTAAAGACTTGGATTTACCGCGACTACGCCTACAGCTGCTGACACTCTAGCAATGTCAGCCGCGATGCTGTTACTCTAGCAATGTCAGCCGCGATGCTGACAATCTAGCAAGTGTCAGCAACGCTGCTGACACTCTAGAAAGTGTCAGCAGCGATGCTGATACTCTAGCAAGTGTCAGCAGCGATACTGACACTCTAGCAAGTGTCAGCCGCAATGCTAACACCCTAGCAAGTGTCAGCTGCGACGCTGACACTTGCTGCTGCCACTCTAGCAAGTGTCAGCAGCAGTGCTGACACTCTAGCAAGAGTTATTAGCGATGCTGCAGACTCGTGGACGAGTTGGGATGCACTACATTACTATAATAGACTCGATTTATGAAATTTCGATCTTTAACATGTGCTTACAGACACTAACACTCAACCTTTAAAATGCTAAGAAATGTGAACAAACTATTCTTACGTGGGGACATTGGTGACATATGTCACTTGCCGGTTTAAATCCTAATTAAATTATAGAACATATGCACAAATAATAGCAAGTAAATTAGACATATTCATATATAAACTATTTGGAGTCTAGCTTCATGATCAGTTTGGAAGCTTCAAGAATACTAATAAAATCCATAGAAGTTACGTGGCCCAAATTGTAACCAAAATATATAAATAAAGGTTCGAAGAGTCCATACCAAGCGATTAACAATTTCAAACGAACAAGAATTGCAAGCGTTGTTAAGACCAGTATTCCGTTTTAAAAACCATAAACTAAACCAAAATTGTGAAATTTTAAACACCGGATGCGAGGATAAAATTTTAAAATCGCATTCAAGCAGAGGGAAGTCGCACTCTTTGGTTGACGGCGTGCAGCTGAATGAGGTCGATAGGCAAGTATGTTTCCTAATGTTCATTAGGAAACTTTGCATAAATAATTCGGCTAGTTCTTATCCGCTGAAAATTATATTAATCGATGTATTTAACGTTATATCGCGCTTCTATTTGTCACTTCAGGTTTCAATATTTTATGTGAAAATTTTGACGTTCTATTGATCATAATTGTGTTATTAAATTATTTGAACACGCTGTGAAACTGTTATTCGAAACCTCTTCACTGAATTAGTGAAATAGATCTGAATTTCAATAATTTTTAAATTCGGGATGACGGGGTTGAATGTGTGTGAAATGATAATGATTACACATCACATTTTTCAAATAACAAATTTCTTATGACCCAGAAAATTTAGAAAGCGAAAAATAAAATACCTGTTTAAAGACAACACTTCTAAAGAGACCAGTGTCTCCGATATTACTCATGTACAATGAATTTCTTATTTTAGTTGTAAATATGTTAAATTATACAGTTTTAATTTTTTTAACATGAAAAAAAATAGCTTAAATTCTTTTAATTACTTATTCTGTCCATTGATTAAAGCATTGTCTCCGACTTTAAGCAAGTGTGCACAATTTCTGATCTTATATCGATTATAAGAATGGTATCAGACAAACAAACAACCAAGAAGAAGTTTAGTTAAAGAAAGGCGTTGTAAAAAGAATAGAATGAAATAAAGAGATAAATAACAAAAAAAATCTCATTAAATTACCAATTAAATATTTCAAAATCCTGCTAAGCAAAAAGACTCGTCAAAATGTCGAACCATGCGATAAGAATGCAAAAGCTTTCCAAACTAAATGCACACAAAAATACAATGAAGTATAAAGCACCTATTCATGTTGGATCATGAATACTGATAAGTAATTTAGGTAGATTATACAACATGAACATGGGTATTGATGTGGCGTTACAAGTTTTAGTGTCAGGAACAATGTTTAACAAGTAGGGACAAGCCCACTCAGCAGGCCTCAGAGATGTTTGGAGTAAAGCGGGAGTCCAAAAAAATTATTTTGATTCGAAGTGAATTAAATTCAACCTTATCTGCTTTTCTTTTCAACAATAATACGAAGATAATATATATTATAGGATGAAGTACACATAAAATGTCATTCTAAGCATTAACTTGAACTTGGTCGTCATATCATGTGTCAGAATTCCACGCAAATATTATTGTACTGGTCAAATTCCCGACGTTTTGTACAAGCCAACCACCATTTCAAAACAAGGCGCAGCGCAGCAATAAAAGTCAAATTGATGCGTCGAGACGTGCGTCTTGAGCCCAAAACGAAGGCCTCTGGTCTGTCCAGAAGAATAAGTCAGAGAAAATAATTCGTCGAATTCCGCGAGGGAGTCGGAGTGTAAATTGGAGAGCACTGGAGGGCAGACGCCAAGTTAAGGGAGGTATAGTGACACGCTAAAATAATGCTAAAAACAACATTCTCTGGCCACGGCCAAGCAATTAACAGAGCTTCTGAGCTAACAAAGCCCAATAAGAAGAGTCAAGGAGCTCCAAAATATCGCCAGGCTACGATACTGGCAAAGCTCGAGGCGACCAAGAAGTTGCATCCAGAAAAAAAACAGCGCTCTCCACCCAATCGATGATTTCGTTTCAGCCTGTTAACCAACTGAGATAAATTTGCCCGAGGTAAAGACAGCTAGACATCGCCTGGTGTTATTTCCTATTTAACGCCAAAACAGAGAAGCGCCAGAAGCAGGATACATTCCCTCGACGACCAAATGCAGGGCCATGTTTTATTTGGGAGTGCAATAAAGTGCCCTGAGTTTAGCAGGAGCGCAAGAGAAGCCGGTGCAACAGCTGTTTTATGACCAGCTCGATAATCTTAAACAAGGAGGCAGGTCGTTAATGTCGCAACACAATCTGCAGGGTCGCCAACATCTCGATATAGCATGTTCTTCATATGCCTCTGCTTGAAGGTTCTTCAGAAGTCAACTCTGTTTTGTTCGACACGCAGAAGACCCGCAAATGCTAGACCTGGCATTTCTGTGCGAGCGTTCTCAGCATTTGCCGACTTAATTGGAAGCCAACTTTATATATTTAGAGAAGCCAGATTACTCCGACCCCTCGGGGGAACAAAAGTGACCAAAGACGCAGCGCTGCAGCAGTAAATTGGCCAAAGAGATGCGAGATTTAGATGACGTTCGGCGAGACACGAAAAAGCGTTAGCGTTCTAACACGAAGCGAGCCCCTTAAAACTCTCAATATATTGTCTGCTCGGTCAGTGCGCACGACAAAACATATGTTTATAGCTGAACAGAACAAGCCACATCTGCTAGCGAGGTGTAAGAGAGACCTTAATAGATATCACACGAGATTTATTTCAGCGTCGCGCTTGCATAAGCCAATTACCACTATTGCAAGGTAAGCAACGTGATCAGCCCAAATATCTGATCTAAGGGAAAATAATATTAGGAAAAAATCTCTGAAAAATTACTTTATAAATATTGTAAATAATCTATAGAAGATCTAAAAAGAAAACAACTAAAATATAATCAACTCACGAAATGGTAGAGAGTAGAAGACGTCGAGCTTGGGTTTATTCGTATGAATTACTGCAGACTTGGTAGTGTGCAGTCGGAGTGAGAACTTCGTTGCGTTTAGGACGCAGAATATATACGAACAATTGGATGCAAGCAATTAGCTAACAGACACGCATAATTAAGTAAAATATTTTCAAAATCGCATTAAACTTCAAACAAAATTTCAGAAAGATCACTCCTACATTGAAACAGTTTATGAGTTCGTAAAATACATCAGAGTCGAGTGAGTGATGTCGTGGTTTTATAAAACAACGCTAAGAAAATTTACAGAAATATAATTGCTTTACTGCAGCATTTATCGCTGTCACTGCATGGCTTTTCTGCGAGACACAACTCAGTTTGCGCGTTAAGTGTACGTTTAGAATGAGCGAATTAACACTGCACGCTCTTCACTGTGATCTATTCAACAGACATGCAAGCCAGCTTTTGGGCCGAGATAAATATGTGAACCAATTAATTACATCAGTTTTTCAGAGGCAAACTTCCCATTGAGATGCGTACAAGATAAATTTAAAACCTATCCTATCAAGCAATTGGATTTAGTTACTTCCACCTTACATATATAGTGACACACTGCCGCTTACGTAGTTTGATTCTCGAGCAGCGTTGGCAGCAATGCAGAGTCTGTAAGAGAAAGAAAAGACAATGTTAATGAGCGAAATTATTGCAAAACAATAATTTGCCATCGAGAGGGATGATATTACTATTCACAAGACAGGGATTCAAATTTAGTAAGGGATTCTACGGTTCTTCAATAAAGTTCAATTACTTTTAACTTAGCATTTATTTAGAATTGAAAAGAAAAATCAAGTCCGTGGACATTATATAGGAACAATAACATTAAATATAGCAACATTAACACACCTAAAAAATAGTGTAGACAGCTGTACAAAAAAGAATAAATCAATCGTTAGAAAACTGTCATTATATACGGAAACGGCAACCGGAATTTTCATCTTTAAGGAAAGAAAAGTTAACGTGTTAAATTTGGAGACCATTCAAGCTTCACGAAAAGTGAGTATCACAGCAGCTGAAAGTTATCGATACAATTTATATTACAATACACAGCACAACAATAATATAAAAAAAGAATTTATACATCTAACCTTCCAACATAAAACTTAACCTGACACAGCGGTACACGGTCTCCAGGTTTGTGGGAGTGTGTTGGGAGTGTAACCTGACACAGCGGTACACGGTCTCCAGGTTTGTGGGAGTGTGCTGGGAGTGTAACCTGACACAGCGGTACACGGTCTCCAGGTTTGTGGGAGTGTGCTGGGAGTGTAACCTGACACAGCGGTACACGGTCTCCAGGTTTGTGGGAGTGTGCTGGGAGTGTAACCTGACGCAGCGGTACACGGTCTCCAGGTTTGTGGGAGTGTGCTGGGAGTGTAACCTGACGCAGCGGTACACGGTCTCCAGGTTTGTGGGAGTGAGCTGTGAGTGTGACCTGACACAGCGGTGCACGGTCTCCAGGTTTGTGGGAGTGAGCTGTGAGTGTAACCTGACACAGCGGTGCACGGTCTCCAGGTTTGTGGGAGTGAGCTGGGAGTGTAACCTGACACAGCGGTGCACGGTCTCCAGGTTTGTGGGAGTGTGTTGGTAGTGTAACCTGACTCCGTGTCACTTGGTCACCAAGGTTCAAGCGGCTGCCCCGCCAAAATGGGCTCGAGTTCCTCTAAAAAATTACAGATTCTATTGAGACGGGAAATTAGACGACGGTTGGATGGACAAAAACTCAAAGCAGGCTAGGGCATGACCGCCTCGTAGCTGAATTTCATTGGAGGCCTCATGAAAATTGCGAGAAGTTTTAAAACAAGAGTTCATAAAATTGAGCGAAATTAAGACGCAGCTGCGAGACGCGGCGCTCACGGTGAGCTTAGGGCCATGTTACTGCATCGTATTTGATGAAGAGTGAGACCTTCAGTATTATTCTGAACCATATTTAGTTTATAAGGGGACTTAGACCTTTAGCTAAATAGTTAGTGCTCACAGTAATAATTTGTATCATATTTATTGGAACTATACTTATATACCTCCATATTTAGTGGAAAAAATGTCTCCAGTAATAATATGTAGCATTCTGGTGAAGAAAATTGTTCTTCTGATAATAATCTGCACATATTCATTGTAGTAAATATGCAATCAGTAATGATCGATGTATCAAAAATAGTGGAATTCCTATCCAGACAGAATTCATCAGTCTCATGCTCAAAGTAGCAACCTGAATTTGAATTATGTTATAATAGGTGGATATAGCTAACTGCAGCTTACTTACTCCAGCAATAAGTCAGCGGTGAATGCCAGAGCGTAGGTAGAATAACTCACAGAACATTGAAGAACTTGCGATATTGACTAATGCGACGTCAAGCGCAGGAAAGCCCGAGTTTAAGCGCTTCTCCACAGAAAAATGGCAGAACATCTTTGAGGATAAACAGCAAATATGTAAATCACGTAACGGCGAAGATCTTAAATTGATCTTGAACCCTCTAGAGAAGCATATACGTGTTAATCTGAACATTTTTTTCCATTGTAGGATAATTTATTGAAGTAACAATTGAATAATTCAAGTTTTAATTCTCTTCAGGTTTGCGCCATGGAGATTTGGTGAGCGAGAGATTTTGACTCTCGCACTCATCTCCCGGGTTCGAGTCCCTTTGAGGAAATGGACTTTCGGGAAGCTCAGCTCATGGTCAACTCAGCCAGTCATTCAATTTTGCCTGATAAATGAGTACCTGGCTTGTCCAGTCTTGCTTAATGCAATAAAATGGTTCTGACGGGTCAGTGAACCAGTGATGGTCGTAGAACTACACTGAGTGCCCTTAAAAACTGACCTATCGCATACCTCGCTAGTCGCTACTGCGAGGACGGGGCAATTACAACAACACGCAACACAACAGAATCTGAATAGTCGAATGAATGCCTATTTGTAAGTTACGATATCGTTCATTTGTATGTGTGTAGGTGCTTGCAGGTGTGTACTCTGTTGGTTGCATGTGTGTACTTGAAGGCTCTGTTGGTTTCTAAACACATTGGGTATTAACCAATATTCATTTGTGCGCATTGATCTTCATCAATCTGCACAGCGCGAGGCTCTGGTGAGGAACCACAGGACGTGAGAATCATGATGTCATTTGCTGATAAAGAGGCAGGGAATAAAACACATGACATCAATTTTTTATTACCATTATAGCAGCCTCAAAAGATTGTTAATTTTGCTTAAGCCATTGAGATCCAGTGTAACATAAATTTGAAATAATATTTCAGCCAAGTATTTCCCACACTTACTTCGCCAAAAAATTTCCATATGCGGCGCGTGCTACACGCCAGGTATATCAGCTCAAGTGTCATCTAACAAATTGACCTCAGGTTTTTAGGATATTTTTAATTACTCATAAAGTAAGTCTGGATGATCAAGACTTGAATACCTAATCATAAGACCGAATATTTTATTCAAATTAAAAACATTTGATTAAAATTAAAAGAAATTTAAACATTGCACTCAACAGTAAGCATTACACTACAACACATTAAACTCGGGTAATGAGTTGAAAGGGAAACGCAATTAAGGTACGTATAGAAAACAGAACAATTTAGCTAGCTTTAATTTTAGTGCAAATTCATGGATCGAAGAAGAAATGTAACAAATTTTTCAAGTGTTAATGAGGTTTACGTCGAAATCCAATTATAGCACAATTTTACCGTCAAGGTTTAATTCAAAATCTCGTAGAACCTTTGCGTTCATCCTGTTAACAAGAGTATGAAGCATTCAAATGGCAAGTTTAAATTAGCAGATATCGATGATTTTTCTTTTGGTCAAAAGTAACATAGAAGAAAATAATCAAGATCAATTCCTTAAATGATCAAGATCTGTGGCGCTACGGAGATCTGCGTGAAGTCGCTTGGCAGTTGAAATGCCGGGAATAAATCGTCGTTGAGCTCATTAGCTCGAACCCTCGACAGCACGAACCCACATGACACGCGAATAAGAGCACGCAATAATAAACATAAACTCATTGCCGTGTCGTGAGCACGACGAGGCGTCAGCGCTGCCCTGGCGGAACGGAGATCATCCTCACCGTACGAGCCAGACTCTTGCCAGACGCGCGCCCCAACATACTGACTCTTGCCAGACGCGCGCCCAAACATCACGAGCCAGACTCCTGCCAGACGCGCGCCTTAACATCATCGCATCACATCCCGGGAAATTCAATGTTCTTCCGCGAACGGAACAATGCGGATCGGATCTCTACGAAAACTGCGGTCGATTTTACGGGTGTTCTTCTAATTATGACTTCGCCCAGCAAATATAATGGCTAAACTGTGACCAATTTCTGCTCCAATCTTAAACTTCCTCACAGAGTTAGGAGTAATTGCACAACCAGCGCAAATCGATTTTCTGCTTCGGTTCAAGGTACCGCGATACGTGCATTCACGGTAACTGTGGGCAGCCGCTGCTCATGTCCCTACGTCCGTTGAAATGTTACGGGGCGCACGGTAACCGTGACCATGCAATCACAGTTCTAGTATATACTTATTCAAATTCAACGTGTATTGAGTGCACATGCACGGTAAGTGAGGCTGAGTCTTAGCTTGTATCCACCAGATTTCCGTCTCGTTGAGAAATGAATTTTGGTAAAAATTGGCAAATGGGATGGCTTTAAAATTAATGGTAACCTTTCCAGCAATTCAAGTCTAAGATATAGTCTCATTGGAAGATGTCAATTCCAGTTGGAAGAAGATCAAATTGCGTTGCAGGAGTAGGAGAGTTAATGGCTGTAAACGGCACCGTATTTCGTAGCTGAAAAATAACATTCATAAAAACAGCCTTCGACGAAAAACAGCTCGATCCTAAATCGAATTAATGTGCCCAGAAAGAACGACACTTTTTCCGGCAACAACAAGCAGAAAGTTCAGTTTGGCATCGAAGTGTCCACACAAACGCTAATTTACAGACAGACGGTAAAGGAGTTGCAGGAGTGTCGTCGTAAGCCAAATAAGCACTTGAATGTCATCATAAAATTGATAGCAGGTTCACACCAACTTAAGTCAACACAGCTTAAACAAAGACGCCTGTGCCAGAACCCATAGAAGAGCGCCACAAGACAAATTTTGTCTCATGCCACCCTTGCTTCGGATGCAGATTTTTATTGAAGTAATTTATTGAATTGAAGATATTCAAACGGTACTGATACTCATAAAGGTCACTATTTCCATCACAAACCTCTTCGAGATGTAACGTTCTATAAAGGTGACCAAAAAAATTAATACCTGGCTATAAAATTAGGTGTGAAAATTCTGGAGCGATTAAGTTGAACGTGATAAATAGCAAACTTCACTTCCTGGCACGGAGTAGCACCTAATGATGAAGTTTTGCCTAATTGGAGTTAAATAATCACGCGGCGACTGGACCGCTTAACGTATAATAGGACAGCCCCGGGGACTGCATGCATAATTTCGTCGATGTAAATCAAGTTTCATTCCCGAATCTCTGACGCCAGATCCACGGTTCAACCATTGCAACAAATTTTATGGACATTGGAATTTATGATAATTCTTGCAATTTAATGAACTGTTGAACAATTACACAAAAAATATCAATAGATGGCGTTCCTCGCAAATTG